AACTGCAGAAGTGACATACCGTCACTTCAAATCTAAGCAATGACTTTGGGTTGTCTGGACTGAAATGTAAAGAAAGATGAAAATATAAACTTGGGGGCCTCCCTGGTGGCACAAGAGGTTAACCAAGGCACAGTGAAGCTGCCTGCATCCTCTGCAGCATAAGTTCGATCCCTGGCTGGCCAGGGAGCTACCCACATGTGCAGCAGACCTCTCCTGTCTCACCCACTGCTCCCCTCAGCAGTGTATTTCAGTAGATCTGCCTGTTTTGCTCCCCTCTCTGTCTCTAGTGAATCCTCTCACCACTACCCCCATACCTCTGGCTTGCACCCCAATGTTGTATGCATAAATAAAAAAAATCTTTTAAAAAAAAAGAAAATATATATGTGGAAAAAATATATAAAAAAACTGCTGCAACGGATAAATCTTGGAAATGAAAATCTAAACACACAGAAGTATTTTTATCCATAAGTTTGACAAAAATGACTGAGCCCACGAGGCTGTGTACACTTATACATTTCAGGAAGGTGACAGTAGCATTTGAGGGACCCAGTTGGCAGTGAAATTAAAAATGTATCTGTAGAAATACAATAGATTTGTGTGTATTGATTTTGTAACCTGCAACTTACCTATATTTATCTGATATTTCTAATAGTTGCTTGTTTTTGTTTTTTTGTTTTTGGTATTTAGGGTTTTCTATGTGTAATGTCAGCTGCATATAGTGAGTTTTACTTCTTCCTTTCCAATGTGGATACCTTTTATTTCTGTTTCTTGCTAAATTGCTCTGGCATAAACAATGAACTAGCAGAAAGAAAAAGGATGAAAACCATACCACCACAAAAAAAATACCTAGCAATAAATTTAACCAAGAAGTAAAGGAACTGTACATTGAAACTATAAAGCACTGTTGAAAGAAACTGAAGAAGAGGGGCCTTCATGGTGGCGCAGGGGGTTAGACAGCATTGTGAAGCTGTCTGCAACCTCTACAGCACGAGTTCGATCTCCAGCCAGGGTGGTGACCCACATGGCGCAGCAGACCTCTCCTGTTTTGCCCACTGCTCCCCTCAGCAGTGTATTTCAGTAGATCTGCCTCTTCTACTGCCCACTCTGTCTCTGGTGAGTCCTCTAACCCCCTGCACCTCTGGCATGCACCCCAGCTCTTGTATACATAAATAAATAAATCTTTAAAAAAAAGAAAAGAAAAGAAAAGAAACTGAAGAAGATAGAAAGAAATGGAAAGACATTCCATTGCTCATGGATCAGAAGAATCAATGTTGTCAAAATGGCCATTCTACTTTTTTTTAAAAAAAAATATTTACTTTTATTTATTTATGCATAAAAGAGCTGGGGTGTAGGCCAGAGGTGCGGAGTTTGAGAGGATTCACCAGAGACAGAGCAGGGAGTAAAATAGGCAGAGCTACTGAATTACACTGTTGAGGGGAACAGTGGGCAAAACAGAAGAGGTCTGCTGCGCCATGTGGGTCAGCTCTCTGGCCAGGGATGGAACTCATGCTGCAGTGGCTGGTGATAGCTTGACAGCACTGAGACTTTAACCCTTGTGCCACCAGGGAGGCCCCCTCTACTTAAAGCCATATACAAATTCAAACCAATCTCTAATAATATCCCAATAGTGGGCCTCCCTGGTGACACAATGGGTTAAGTCTCTTCATTATTAAGCAATCCGCTGGCCCCGGCAGACCTCTCCTATCTCACCCACTGCTCCCCTCAGCAGTGTATTTCAGTAGATCTGCCTCTTCTGCTCCCCACTCTGTGTCTGGTGAATCCTTTCACCTCCCTGCACCTTTGGCCTGTAACCCAGGTCTTGTATGCATACATAAATAAATCTTTAAAAAAAAATCCTAACATTTGTAAGGAAGCACAAACAAATGTTGAATATTCAAAACTATCCTGAGAAAAAAGAAGGAAATAGGAGATAACATGTTCTTGGCTTCAAACTTTGTACAATAAGCTATAGCAATCAAAGCAGTCAGTATTGGAAAGCAAGCACATAGATCAATGGAAAAGAATCGAGAACCCAGAAATAAAACCATACATATATGGGTAACTAATTTATGATAAAGGTGCCCAGAGCAGATAATGAAAGAAAGTCTTCAATAAATAATGCTGGGAAAACTGGACAGCCACATGCAAAATAATGAAACTAGATCATTATCTCTTTTTATAAAAGATTTATTTATTTGTGCATATAAGAGCTGGGGCACAGGCCAGAGATGCGGGGGATGGGGGTGAGAGGATTTACCAGAGACAGAGTGGAAAACAGAACAGGCAGACTAACTGAAATACACTGCTGAGGGGAGCAGTGGGTGAGTCAGGAGAGGTCTGCTTCGCCATGTGAGTTGCTCCCTGGCAGGCTGGGGATTAAACTCGTGCTGCAGAAACTTCGGATTGCCTCACTGTGCTGTGGTTAACCCCCTGTGCCACCAGGGAGGCTCTAGATCATTATATTATACCATATACTAAATTAATTAAAAGTAGATTAAAGACTTGAATGTAAGATCTGAAACCATAAAATACACAGAAGAAAGTATAGGGGCCTCCCTGGTGGTGCAGCGGTTGAGCGCTGGGTTGCGAAGCTGCCCTCAGCCTCTGCAGCACCAGTTCTATCCCCGGCCACTGGGCGAGGATCCCACATGGCGCGCAGACCTCTCCTGCCGCCCGCTGCTCCCCTCAACAGTGTACTTGTCAGTCTGACTGCTCTGCTCTCCCCTCTGGCTCTGGTGAATTGTCTCACCCTCCCGCGCTTCTGACTGTACCCAGTGCTTGTATAAATAAATAAATCTTAAAAAAAAAAAAAGAAAGAAAATATAGGCAAAAAACACTTTGATGTTGGTCTTGGTGATATCTATGTGGATTGTCTCCAACAGCAAGAGAAGAAAAAGAGAATAGAAACAAATGGGGTATCAAGCTAAAAAGCTTCTGCACAGCAAGAAAAACCATCATTAAGACAAAAAGGAAGATGCTAATAACAGAGAACTCATGTCCAGGCCTCCACTGGTCCTTGCATCCTGCCCTTGCCCACATAGATTTCAGTTATGGCCTCCAGCAAAGCGTACATTGGTAAGCCCACCCCAGACTTCAGGTCACTGCCTTGGTGAACGGTGCCTTCAAAGAGGTGAAGATTTCTGACTAGCAAGGAAAATATGTAGCCCTCTTTCTACCCACTAGACTTCACCCTTGTGTGCCTCAGGGAGATTATCACTTTCAGGGAGCATGCAGAGGACTTCTGCATACTAGACTGCAAAATTCTGGGGTTTCTGAGGACTCTCAATTCACTCACTTGGCTTGGATCAACATCCCCCAGAAAGAGCGAGGGATAGGCCTCCTGAACATGTCCCTGCTGGCTAACATAACCAGAAGCTTGTCCCTCGATTATGGCATGCTTGAGGAAGATGAGATCCCGCTAGGGGCCTCCTTATCATTGGTGGCAAGGGTGTTCTTCAATACTTCACCATCAATGATTTGCCTGTGGGGCATTCTGTGGATGAGGCCCTGTGATGGGTATAGGCCTTTAATACACTGATGAGCCATTGGGAAGTCATGGCTTCCAGCCAGGCAGCAACACAATCAAGTCCAATGTGTCTTACAGCAAGATTGCTTCTCCAAACACAAGTAGGCTAATACATGGATGGTAAGGTTGGCTCTAGGCCCCTACCTGTGTCCCTGCCTGGGTACCCTGTGCTGACTCAAGAATGGCTGGACCTGCCCCTTCAAATCCCACATTCTATTACCCTGAGGGGTCGGTCAAGGTCTTCTCATACTCCCACCTGAGAACAGGTAAATGGTGACCCCCTTCTCTGGAGCCCACCTAGCAGGAGACAGCCTAGTGGTAACTAATAAAGTATTGGAGGGGAGAGGAAGGTAGCCTACTGAATGGGAGCAGATATTTGCAAACCATATGTCAGGCAAGGGGCTAATATCCAAAATACATAAATGAAAATATATGATCTGATTTGTATGAGTAAGAGATCTAAACAGACACTTCACCTAAGAAGATACACAAATGACCAACAGACACATGAAAAGATGTTCTATATCATTCATCATTAGGGAAATGCAAATCAAAACCAGGGACATTTCACCTCACACTGGTTAGAATGGCCATTATCAAAAGACAAGAAATAATAAATGTTGATGAGAATGTGGAAGATAAATGAATCCTCATGCACTTCAGTAGGAATGTAAATTGATGTACCCAGTATGGAAAAGTATAGAGATTCCTCAGACAATTAAAAATGGAACTATCATTATATGATGCAGTAATCCCACTTCTGGGTGTTTACTCAAAGATGAATATACTAGCTCAAAAAGACACATGAACTCCTATGTTCATTGCAGCATTATTCACAATAGTCAAGATATAGAAACACCTCAAGTGCTCAACAACAGATGAATAAGTTGTGAATATATATAGGATATGTATTGGATAAGGAAGTTGTGGTATATATACACAATGGAATATATATGCTCAGTCATAAAGATGAAAATTTGCCAGTTTATAACTGGAACACTGGCTCTCAGGCCACCTGACACCACTAAATGCCAATAAAATAGAGACAGGAATTGAGTCTTTAAGGTGTGCTTTAATCAGACAGACAGCAATCTGGAAGACAGGGGGATTAACACCTTTAAGGTGTTCTATAAGAAACCATTTTAGGGCTTCCCCGGTGGCACAGCAGTTGAGCACTGGGCTGTGAAGCCACCCACAGCCTCTGCAGTGCCAGTTCGATCCCCGGCCACTGGCGAGGGTCCCACACGGCACGCAGACCTCTCCTGCTGCCCGCTGCTCCCCTCAGCAGTGTACTTTGGTCCATCTGCCTGTTCTGTTCCCGGCTCTGGTGAATTCTCTTACCCTCCTGTACTTCTGACTGTACCCAGTGCTTGTATAAACAAATAAAATTTAAAAAATAAAGAAACCATTTTAACATTTCATTTCCCGAAGGCTTTTTATTGTGCATTGAACAAAGACAATTGTTCAGCACTAAGCAGACCTTCACTGCTGCCAGGAGCTTGTGCTGTCCAGCGCCCAGAACTCCTATTGTCTCCCGGACACCTGGTGTCAAGGGTGTCCTAGTGTGCTGAATCTGGTCTTCTGATAGCGCTGGCTCCTCATACTCCTCCTGATGTGTCCTTGGGCTCATTCTTTGTGTCCTATGGCAGGCAGGCCATAAACGATATGTGTGTGCAGCTTTGTTATACATTTCTATACCATGCATAGGGTCCTACTCGGTCGTCTCCCCCTCTCTCACCCCTATCAATTTGGGAAAACAGGGATGGTTCATGGAAGAGTTATTCTAAATGAAATAAGTCAGAAGGAGAAAGATAGATACCATATAATTTTACTCCTTTGTGGAATAAAAAGAAAACAAAACAAACCCTTGGATTATGACAACAGAATGCCAGCAGGGAAGGAGGAGAGTGGGAATGGGTCAAAGGGTTGATTGGCTGGTAGCAGGTGCTTACTGGATACCTGATGGTAGATGTGGTAAGAAAATGAACTCTTGCAATCTAAACAGTATTGTTATGTCACATTAAAGGAAAAAAATCGCCTATCCAGCAGTTGCTTTCCTAGAAAAATAGTTTTACAATAGGTACAAAGAACCTTATTTTATGGGCTTCCGTGGTGGTGCAAGGGGTTAAGTCTCAGCACTATGAAGCTATTGGCAGGGGTTAAAGACAGAGCTATCAAGCTATCAAGCAATTGGCAGCCACTGCAACACCAGTTCGATCCCCAGCCAGGGATCTACCCACACAGAACAGCAGACCTCTCTTGTCTCGCCCGCTGCTCCCCTCAGCAGTGTGTTTCAGTTAATCCACCTGTTCTGTTCCCCACTCTATCTGGTGAATCCTCTCACCCCCCCCCCACATCTCTGGCCTATACCCCATTCTTGTATGCATAAATGTAAAAAAATAAATCTTTAAAAAAAAAAAGCTTATTTTAGTAGTAGCAGCAGGAGCAGAACAGGTAGTAGAAATAATAAAAATCTTTTTTTTTTTTTTTTTTTTTTAGAAATTAACTTTTTTTTTTTTTTTTAAGATTTCTTTATTTATTTTATACAAGTACTGGATACAGTCAGAAGTACGGGAGGGTGAGAGAATTCACCAGAGCCAGAGCGGGGAGCAGAGCAGGCAGAAGGACCGAAGTACACTGCTGAGGGGAGCAGCGGGCGGCAGGAGAGGTCTGCGCGCCATGTGGGACCCTCCTCTGGTGGCCGGGGAGCAGCCGGGGATTGAACCGGCACTGCAGAGGCTGCGGGCAGCTTCGCAACCCAGCGCTCAACCGCTGCGCCACCGGGGAGGCCCATAATAAAAATCTTAATAAAAGTTTTGCTGGACACAACTCCAGAATCTCAGCCTTTTATGAGGTGAATACTATCTCTATTTTATAAATGAGGAGATTGCTCAGTGTGGCCCTCACTGACAGGTGGTGCTGAGGGAGAGAAGGGGTAGCATGGGGTTTCCAAGGAGGAGAGATCCAGGTGGAAGGAAGAGCTATATCATGGAGACCGAAGTTGGAGCAGGTTAAGAAGGGCAGGAAATGGGATTAGAGTAAGAGGGAGTGGCAGATAATGCCCACCGGACACAAGTGTGACCCCCCCATGGTACACTCTAGGTACAATGTGGAGCAACTGCATGGTTTTGAGTAATGGCAAACATGGTCTGATCTACTTAAAAGGCCCCTGACTGCCATGTTGAAAATAAATTGTAGGAAGCAAGAGGTCAGGAGAGGTGTTGGAAGCTGTTATAATAATACAGGTGACACATGTGAACACCTAGTAAAAATCTGGAAAGACAGACAGAAAACTGACCATGAAACAGGGCAAGGGGTTGGGGGAGGGTCAGTGACCAGGGATGACCCAGTTCATGAGCTCTCATCTGCTTACTTAAGAATGCAGGACACAGAGAGAAATAAAGAGGATTTATTTACATTTAAAAAAGGAGATAGGGGGCCTCCCCTGGTGGCGCAGCAGTTGAGCGCTGGGCTTTGAAGCTGCCCGCAGCCTCTGCATCGCTGGTTTGATCCCCAGTTCCAGGTGAGGGTCCCACATGGCATGACAGAGCTCTCCTGCCACGCCCGCTGCTCCCCTCAGCAGTGTATTTCATCGTCTGCCTGTTCTGCTCCCCACTCAGGCTCTGGTGAATTCTTTCACCCTCCCGCGCTTCTGACTGTGCCCAGTGCGTGTATAAATAAATAAATAAATAAAATCTTTAAAAAAAAAAAGGAGATAGGGAAGAAATAGGGGAAACAAAGTTTATAAATAGACAGGAAACAGCCTAATGACGTCTGTCTCACTTGCAGATGACGTCAGGTGCACTCAGAAGCAAGTGGGAAAAAAGAGTGGGAGCAATTTTGTGTTTACAATCAACATGGCAGCTCAGTTCCACCCCTAGCTCCCAACAACCCCTGTTGGAGAAATCTGGGTAGTGCAGTCCAAAAGCTCCACATTTTTCCATCGAGTTGGCTGTGAGCATCATCAACTGTCTGGGAGGTGGTTCTTCACTGTTCCTCTAACAGGGCCTGCCACACCAGCAGCAGCCTGCAGGCCAGAACTCCAGCCCCAGCTGTCAACAGTGTTGCACCCTCTAACAATAATGTTGCTGTGGTGGGTATTGAGTTGCTTTATGAAATATTATTTAGCAGTTATTTGAGGCATTAAAGATTACTTTTCTTACTACCACTATGATTATAAATGTTAACAATTTTATCCTTCCTTTCAGAATAATTCACTCTAAACAAGTCACATGTGATAGAAAAAAGAGGAACCTGTGGTAGGTGGGAGAAAGCCATCTGGTATAGAGAAGCATAGTACGAGAGAGGCGAGAAAGAGACTGGTGTTTTTTAGTAAGGGGTCAGTTGCTCCCCAGGGAGATTAAGCCAATAAATAAATATATTGAGGATAATGGTAACCAGGTTCTTTACTATTAGAGAGTTATACATTTGAGAAGGAAGAAAACTAGAATGAGTCCTTCAGTGCTGGATTTGAATTGGAAGCTGTGAACTCATAGTTTAAGAGGGAGAGAGATGGTAGGTGGATAGTAGATAGATGACATATACAAACGATAAAGAGATGTATGAATATATGTATACACATTCATGTATATATTCTCTAGTTCTGTCTGCTCATAGGGCCTAGGAACAATGACATTGCAATGGCTATAAACACCCTAACAATCTCATCCAGGCTCCTCAAAAGCACTCTCCAGTAAAAAAAAAAAAAAAAAAAAAAAAAATCAGAACTTCTTTTAAAAGTAACTAATTCCAGGATTAGAGCAGTGAAGATGCAGATGCAGATGACCCTGGAGTACTTTACCCATTTTGTAAAGTACCCCAAGATCGATAAGAACATTTCAAAAGGATGTAGAAACCAACTGAAAGAACCCACTGGCCAACTCTAGGACAATTTAGGTATAAAAGCAAATAATGAGAGTAATATATCATAACCCATTGAACCAAATAGGAGTCCATGAGTCCAAACTAATACCAACTTTAAAGAATGAATTAGGTAACACTTAAGTTAGAATGCATTCCTTTTACATTTGGCAAACATCATAGTTATAATTAATTCAGCCAAGAGACACTAATGGATGTGAAAACTAGATACTGAATGTTTGATGAGAAATAGGATATTTACATAGTCTCAAATTCCCTCCCTACAAAAATCTTTTAATTAATATAGTGGGTTGAAAGTGATATGTTTATGTCCTCATCCTTAGAATCTGCAAATATATTGGAAAAACCTTGTTTGAAAAAAAAAAAAGTGGATCTATTTAAGTCAAAGATCCTAAGCTAGGGAGATCATCCTGGATCATCTAGATAGGTCCTAATTCTCCCCACCAAGTACTAACCAGGCTTGACCCTGCTTTGCTTCCAAGATAGGACGAGAGATCTTGGTATCTCATCTGATCATGTGGTATGGCCTTAGACTGGGCCCTTAGTCTAATAAGTAGTGTTTTTTTAAGAGTAAGGTCAACGGAGACTTGGCAGACAGAAGACAAAGTACACATCTAAGTGACCCCACCACAAGTCAAGGAGCACTCACAGTCACAGAAGCTGGACAAGACTGAAACTGGATGCTTCCTGAGAGCTTCCACAGGTGATGCATCCTTGATCTCCAATTTCTGTTCTTCATGACTGTGAGAGAATAAGTTTCTGTTGTTTTAAGCCACTTAGTTTGTGGTAACTTGTTACAGCAGCCACAGGAAACAAATACAATTACAAAGAGGAAATAAGCAATCTTACAGAGGAGAAATCTGTCAGACACTCGCTAAATCTTGGATCAAAATGAACTTCATCAGTAATGGGAAAAATTGAAATTGTGGGCCACCCACTAAGCTGGAATAAAAACACAACATGCCCTCAACGATTCCTGCCAGAGATGCATCACCTGGTTTTAGTAAGAAGGAAATATTAGGCCTCCCTGGTGGTGCAAGGGGTTAAAACGTAACTTATGCAGCAACCCCCAGCCTCTGCAGATCCCCTGCCAGCCAGGGAGCAACCCACATGGCGCAGCAGACCTCTCCTGTCTCGCCCGCTGCTCCCCTCAGCAGTGTACTTCGGTCAACCTGCCTGTTCTGTTCCCCGCTCTATCTCTGATGAATCCTCTCACAAACACACACACAACCCTCACCCCTGCACCGCTGGCTTGTACCCCAGCTCTTGTATGCATAAATAAAAATAAATCTTAAAAAAAAGAAGGAAATGTCACACAAACCCCAATGAAGGGTTGTGAACAATTATAAGTTTTAATAAGATGGAGGTAATGGAAGTCAAGGAAAGACTGGGAACTCTCACAGCCTGAAGGAGACAAAAGAGACATAACAACTATAGGCAAAACATGATCCTGGACTGGATCCATCTATAAAGACGTCACTGAGTCAATTGGTATAATTTAAATGAGGTCTGAGGATTCAGATGGAGGGAGGTAACATTAATACTATTCCTGATCTTGATAGTATTATGATTATGTAATGGAGTGTCCTTGAAGGAATTACATACTGAAGTTTTTAGGGGCTTTGGGATATTTACTGGACAACTTAATTTCAAATGGTTTAGAAAAAAAATGTTCTCTGTACTGTAAGTGCAACTTTTTTTATTAACATGAAATTATATCAAAAGAAATAGGGGCCTCCCTGGTGGCGCAGGGGTTAAAGTCTCAGCTCTATCAAGCTATTGCCAGTCACTGCAGCATGAGTTCCATCCCAGGCCAGGGAGCTGACCTACGTGGCACAGCAGACCTCTTCTGCCTCGCCCGCTGCTCCCCTCAGCAGTGTATTTCAGTCAGTCTGCCTGTTCTGTTCCCTACTCTGTCTCTGGTGAATCTACCACCGCCCTCACACCTCTGGCCTGTACTCCAGTTCTTGTATGCATAAATAAATCAATCTTAAAAAAAAAAAAAGAAAAAAATAGGAAACAAAATTACAAATATCATTTTTGTAATTCTTTTTTTAAAATATTTATTTATTTATGCATACAAGAACTGGAGTACAGGCCAGAGGTGTGGGGGCAGTGGTAGATTCACCAGAGACAGAGTGGGGAACAGAACAGGCAGACCGACTGAAATACACTGCTGAGGGGAGCAGCGGGCAAGACAGGAGAGATCTGCTACGTCATGTGGGTTGCTCCCTGGCTGGCTGGGGATCAAACTGGTGCTGCAGAGGTTGTGGATAGCTTCACAGTGCTGTGCTTAATCCCATGCACCACCAGGGAGGCCCTATTATGCATGCTTCTTGAGGACAAGAAAGTATTTGGGGGCTCTGAAGCTAAGTTGGAATCATGGATCAGTTACCTGTTTGTGTAGTATGACCTTGGGGAATTCATCTCTTTATTCCTCAGTTGTCTATTAAGTGGAGCCAATACTATCACCTACCTCATAGGATTTTTGCAAGGATTAAATTAGATATTTTTGGAAAGTGCTTAGAAGAATGCCAGACATGTAGAAATACTTATAAACACTAACTGATACTGATATTCTTATTGGCTGCACTATCCTCATTTGCTGTCTTACAATTTATTCCAGAATTTGGGTGTATAAAGCTACTATAAACGTTTATGTTTCATAGATTCCTGTGCATGAGGAATTGAGAAGCGACTCTGGCTTGCTATCTGATTGGCGATTCTGGCTTGCTATCTGTCACAAAGTTGTATTCCAGATGCTAGTGGGGACTGCAGTCATCTGAAGGATTTTTAGGGTTGGAGGACACACTTCCAGGGTCTCTTGTCTTCTCTTTTTGGATCTTTCCAATGGGCTGCTCCAGTGTTCTCATGACATGGCAGCTAGTTTTCTCCAGAAGGAGCAATACAAGAGCCTAAGGCAGAAGCTGCTCTGGTTTTTATGAACTAATATTAGAAGTCAAGCACCATGCCTTCTGCCATACTCTTATTAGTCACACAAACCAGCTCTGATTCCATGTGGGAGGAGATTACATACTAAAAGCATAAATCCCAGGAGGTGATTCTTGAAGGGCAATCTTGGAGGCTGGCTGTCACATTTATATTGTTTGCCTCCAAGGGAATTATTATAGTCACGTGTCCCTTCTGAGAAACATGTAGTTAGATGAGTTTGTCATGCAAACATCTAGAGAGTAATTACACAAACCTAGATGTAGTAATAGCCTACTACACATCTAGTCTGCATATCAGAAGCACGGCAGTGTATGTGATTGGTTAGTCACTGACCAAAATGTCCTTATGACAACATGCCTAATAAGAGGCTCTTGTAATCATAGACATAGGCATGCTTGCTAGAGAAGGACACCAAGGAAGAAGGAAGAAATGAGCCCAAAGGAAATAATTCTTCAGCCTCATCTCTCGCCTCTCCACCTCATGTATTCTCAGTTTAAGTCAGACCAAATTTCTTAAGACTCTTCAGAAGTCACCTGGCTCTTCTCTCTCATTTCAAGGCCTGTGCAACCATGGTTTTTCTGTTTGAAAGTTCCTCCTCTCCACTTCACTTGGCTATCTTCTTATAATTCAGGTCTCAGTCTACACAGTTCATCCTTCAGGAAACTTTCCCTGACTCCCTTAGGCTGTCACTGATGTGTGTACTTTGCCTCCTGTTAAGGACTTTAACCAGTCTTTGGACGTGAAGGTATCTCTAAGCAAAGAGCTGACAAAGCAAGGTGGAAGAAATTACTATGATATGTTCTCTAACAGAAAGTTCCAAGAGACCTTTTTTGGTAATGGAATTTTCCTCATCTATGCTGTATAATAGCGAGGCCACTAACCACATGTGAAATGCAGCTAGTGGACTGAGGAAGTGAATTTTATTGAAGAAAGCGGGAATTGAATTTAAATTGTATTTAATTCTAACTTAATAGTTGTGTCCAAATTTGCGTCCTTCTAAGACAAATCAAGAAATAACCTCCCCGCCCGCCCCCAGCACCCCTTCCCTTTCATGGATTTGGATTTGTCGCTAGGCTTTGTGAAGAGGTGGCCAATTCAGTACCTTCTCCTTGGAAAACTCACAGACAAGGGAAGATAAAGCTATGCACACAATGGCTGGGAGCCAGAGGCGCTGAGTTCTGGAACCATTTTGGCGAACTAGCCCTCTACCTCAGTTTTTCCATATGTAAAATGTCAAGGCAGGAGAGGTCCGCGCTCACTCTAACTCCCTGGTACTATTTCATGCCATCAAAATTGTAATGATTATAAAAATAGCAGCCAAGTTAACCGAGTACTTATAAGTTCTATGCTCAGTGTTTCATTTTAGCCATTTCACTTAAGCCTAACCACAGTTTTACAAATCCCCATTTTGTAGATGAGGAAACTGAGGTCTCAGGTTACAGAGGGAGCAAATTTAAGTTGAGCGTTGAATCTACCTGGCTCTAGCCCTGAGCATTTAATCAGCTTGCTATTCGCTTTGCTTTTCTCTACGAGGTTGGATTATTCTGAAAAACGTTGGGTTCAAGTGAGGAGATATGCTACGATCATTCGCGATGCTGAGTGTTTTTAAATGCCTACTCTGACTGCTGTGTCCGCATAATCTCACTTAATTCTCACAACTGTACACGGTGGTCGGCACTCGTACCCTCATTGTACAGCTGGAAAACGAGGCTCAGTAAACTGCCCAGATCACTCAATCAGTAACTGGCAGGGACTGAAACCTAGTGGGTCGGCTTCCACGATCCAGCTTGGAACGCCCGGGCTCCGGCGCGGCGCGGCCGGGCGCAGGCTCGGGGTCTGCCCGCAGATGGGAGGAGACAGGCCGCCGCCGGCCTGACCTCCGGCACCGCCCCCGCGGCACGCCTTCCCGCGCACGCGCTCTCGGGCTCCCGGCGGGCGCGCGGACGGCGGCGGGGAGCGTGCGCGCGGTGACGTGCCGGGCGCCATGTTGGAGGGCTGGTGGTAGCGGCTCGGGGAGGTGTTCGCTCTCTCGGTCTCGCTCTGTCGCTCGCTTCCCCCGGCTCCCTTCGGTGCCCCCCCGGTCGCCTGCGTGCCGTAGTGTGTGCGAGGGAGGGGGAGGGCGTCGGGGGGGTGGGGGGAGGCGTTCCGGTCCCCGGGAAACCCGCGGAGGGAGGCGGCGGCTGCGAGGGACTCCGGGAAGCCATGGACGTCGAGAGACTGCATGAGGCGCTAAAAGGTGGGGGTAGCGGCCCCCTCTCCCTCCGTCCATCCCCTCCGCGGCCCTCTCACCTCTCCTTTCGGGGCGGGGGCCCCGAGGGTGGGGGCCGGGCGGCGGGGCGCGCTTCCTCGGCTCCCATCCCCCTCCCAGCTCCCCAGGGGCGGGGAGCCCTGTGGGCAGCTCACTCCCGCCCCACTCTGGGCTTTGTGTCGGCCGCTGGCGTCTGGGCTGGGGGAGGGGAGCCGGGGACGCTCTCCTGGGGCCCTGGCCCCTTTCCCTAGCCTTCAGGGACGGGTCGTGGGCCCGCCGCCCGCTCCTAGGCGGGCTCAGTTCTCGGTGGTGCCCCCGCACGCCGGGCGTCGGGGTGAGAGAAAAGTAAAAGGTTTTGGTGGGGGGAGGGGGCAGCAGAGCAACTTTTAAGTGTCTCAGGGAGCCTTTTTCAGGGTTTCTGAAGTCATTCTCCCACGCGCCCCAGTTCCAAGGTGGTCGTCTTCACTAGTCTTGATTGCTCACCTTTCAAGCAACAGGCTTGAAAAACAGTGATTCTCAAACTTAGAATAGCGTGATTTAGGCGTTTCGAGAATTATGCTTTGACATTCAGGATTATTTGGGGACGGCTACATCAGGTTACTGGTGTATTTAAAAACGCAGATTTATGAACTTAATTTGTTAGAGTCGGGGGCTAGGGTCTGTTTTCACTGGATTCTCAGACGAATGTGATGTTAGTGTTCCTCCAGATCACACTTTTGAGGAACATTGGAGTAATAATGGTTTGGAGAGAAGTGGAGTGCCCCCTTTAGGAGGGTTCTCGTTACCTGTGAAGAGGGTGACATATTGGCAGGGGAACCTAACAGTGGGACTGGAGATGCCTACTTTTTAAAATTGCTTCTTAATATGAGAAAAGACTGGGAGGAAAGTTTGTTTTTAGAGGGAATGCAAAATGGTTGATGGTGGACTTTAAAAAATACCCCATAACTTTTCTTTCTTATCTAGATTTTGAGAAGAGGGGGAAAAAGGAAGTTTGTCCTGTCCTGGATCAGTTTCTTTGTCATGTAGCCAAGACTGGAGAAACAATGTGAGTTATAAACATACTCGATGTTATAAACCTATGTATCATTCAGAATTGCTTAGGAAAGAATTGACTATGCCATCTAATAAACTGTACAACCCCAGTCATTTAAAGCATCTCTGATTGCATATACTTCGTTTACTTTATGCATACTCTAATGAATTTTAAAAGTTAAATTTTTATTTTTATATCTGTGCTTTGGCACACTTAGAATCTATTATTCCAAGACAGCCAGAAAAAGAAAGAAAACGTCTCTTCCATTATGACCCTTTTGGTCATAACAAACAGGTTTATTCCCAGAATTTTATGACTTTGTTTCAAATTCTTTTGTTGTTTTTTTCTCATTCTGTTCTGCATCCAACCTTTTGTTGTTATATTTACATATGTGGTGTTTGAAGTGTCACTTGTATTTATTCTCTTGAGAATTCAGGGTGATTATCTGACAAATTCCAGATGTTACAGTTTTGCGTGTCCTGTAAACTTTCTAGGATAACTAACTTGTTACATATGCTTAGTATTTTTCTAGGTTTATTTCCAAATGTTGTAAATCTGAAACTTACACTATGAAGTTAGGACTGCTTTCAAAATGAACATTCTAGTTCATTTTGTGTGTGTACTGTGTGTGTGTCAGGAATTATTTTCACACTCTAAGTATAGAGCGCAGCACAGCTTTGGAGATTTCCTTGTAGCAGGCAAGGAAACCTTGCAAAGGTTTCTTGGGGTGCAATGTTTATTAATAAGTGGAGTTTGCTTTGGTTCCCCTAATTCTTGCCTGTTTTTAAAATTCTGAGTACTAATAAAAGTAAGTTTCAACAGGTAATGTATACTTTCTTTGGCTTTATTAGCAAATGTTCATTTTCCACATGATGCGCTTGTGGTTGTAGGTTTAATGGTGATGTAGAATGGCTGAACTACTGCCTTAGTGCTTAATTAAAATTGCCAGTCAACTTATGGATGTTGCTGTGATGTGTTTCTGTTTATTACAGTTTAAAAATGGAACCCTTAAATTGCCTCTGAATTACATAGTCTCTTTCATTTGAATTGCTAGTTGTTCTAAATGTATTCATCTCTATCCCTCTTCAAGGGTAAAAAACATTTCATTTTCAAAATTTTGATACACAAGATTATACCCAACTATTTGGAGATACTTACTTTCTTTTATTCAGCTTATCAGGTTTGTATAAAATGCCATCTCTTTTTGATAAATTATATTTAAATACTATGACTATGAAGTTGAAGATTTCTAAAAGAAAGCTTTTTAATAACTTTGTAATTATTAAATTTAATAACTTTAATTTGTGACTAAATTACCAGGTGGCTAAGGAAATTTAAGTTTTCTAGATAATTTTGACCTGCTACAGGACTTAAATAAGACCCTTCCCCCATTAAATGATCATATATTTGCTAAGCATATTTTATACTAAAATGACTTGGTGGTGTTAGTCTTTATGGTGTTTGGAAACTGTTTCAAAATTTATTGTTCAGGCGGCTGGTGTTAATACATTTAGTTTCATTTAGTATCTCAGTCAGTCCTCCTGTTCTGCTCCCCACTCTGTCTCTGGTGAATCCTCTCACCCCCCACACCTCTGGTTTACACCCCCGTTTGTGCGTGCATAAATAAATCTTTAAAAAAAAATAGCCTTTTATTTTAATCAACATGGACATGTCTTAACTTTGGATAATGAAATTTGAAGTTTCTGTAATCCATTTATGGCTCAACTGAGCTCCATCTAATTTCTATGATTGTAATAGAATGAAAATTGAAACAGTAATTTAGACATTTCTGGTATAGGGATAGGTTGCTTAAGATAAGACTTTCATACTTCTTTTTTTCATTTTCTTTGACACATTATAGCAAGAAATCATTAACAGACGAAATATATGAAACTTTGTTTATGGATGAAAATCAGTAACAGTGAAGGCTGTTTTTTATTTCAAAAAAATGACTTGGGTGTTTTAGCTTTAGAGAGATTTCAGAATCATAAATATGGGTTCTTAATTGAGGAGAAAAGGTACACAAAAATTAAAGAACCTGGGAAAAATTTTCCTTCCTAGTCTATTAAGGATTACCTGTAAATATCTAATGTAGGAAGTTAGGAAAGATGCCACGATATTGAAAACTAAACTTAATGAAGTGGGAGATTACTGGTCCTTCCTGTCTGTCGCTATCTATAAGCAGAACCCAAACGAGTTGTTTCTGGTCATTTCAAAAAGTTGTTTTTACGTTGAAGTGCTTTCTCCTGAAAATGGGACATTTCTTTAAGCAACATTTTCCCAAAGATAATGGTCTATGACTTAATACAAAATATGTTTATGTGCTGAGTAAACAAAAGCATACGTGATAGGTATGTTAACTATTCATTTAAACATCCATGGGTCATAGGTTTAAACATATATGATGGGTTTTAGTTGCAGTTACTCTTTTTTGATGGTCAGATTGTCTCATCGTTGGCCAGTGGGAACCTCTTCCAGGTAATTACCCAAGTCTTTTGACTTGACCCTAGCTTTATTCTCTGATAGGAGATAAGCTCATTTCCTGCCACAGACCTTAGAGCCTACCATATTTCTAGAAACCCTTATTTTCTTTTAGTGGGAAATGGTGTTTAAAGTCTACATCCTGCATGCTAGAGATACTTATTACCAAGTTGGCCATTGTTTGTAGCCTCTTAGGTGGATAGAACTAGATAAACATCTTTCATGACTCATGCTGCTGCTTATAATTTAAAATCAGGACCATACTTTTTTTTTCCCACTTCTCCCACACCGAAAATCCTGGGGTTTTTTTTTTTCCTTTTAAGATTTTTTTTTTTTTTTATATTTATACAAGCACTGGGTACAGTCAGAAGCGCGGGAGGGTGAGAGAATTCACCAGAGCAGAGAGCAGAGCAGGCAGACTGATGAAGTACACTGCTGAGGGGAGCAGCAGGCACGGCAGGAGAGGTCTGCACACCCTGTGGGACCCTCGCCCTGAGGCAGGGGATCAAACTGGCATTACAGAGGCTGCAGGCACCTTTGCAACCCAGTGCTCAACTGCTGCGCCATCAGGGAGGCCCCGAAAATCCTGGTTCTTGAGGACACATGGAGTGGCAGATTTAGGATATGCATAATTAATTATTGACTGTCTAACATTACACCCCAAATGTATAAGAATACTACTAATAATGGGGCCTCCCTGGTGGCGCAAGGGGTTTAGCACCACACTATGAAGAAATCCATTGCCTCTGTAGCACGAGTTCAATCCCTGGCTGGCCAGGGAGAAACCCACATAATAAGGCAGACCTGACTTGCCCGCCGCTCCCCTCAGCAGTGCATTTTGGTCAATCTGGCTGCTCTGTTCCCCACTCTGTCTCTGGTGAATCCTCTTACCCCTCCCCCCCAATCTCTGGCCTGTACCCCAGCTCTTGTATGCATAAATAAATAAATCTTAAAAAAAAAAAAAAAGAAAATGCCAAACTGTTTTTCATAGTTTCCCACCAGCATTGTAGAAATTAAGATCAGTTTTTCCACATCCTTTCCAGCACTTTGGTTAAGTCTTCTCTCTCTCTCTTTCTTGCTTTCTCTTTCTCCATTCTAATTAAGCCCAAACTGCATAGTGCTTTTAATTTGCTTTCCTCTAATGTTGTTGAGCATCTGATCGTGTGTATAATTGCTATACAAAAAGCAGTTGTATACCTTCTTTGGTAAATTAGTTGTTCAAATCTGCACATTTGAAAAGTGGGGTTGGTTTTCTTATTGGATTTTGAGAATTCTTTGTATACATGGACATAAGTCTGACTTGTGGTTTACAGTCACTACCATCAGTATCCTTATTTTATAACTGCATTTCAATTTTTAAAAATTGTCCTTGAAGGACTCTTACTGCATTATTTGTATTCATTGGTTCTTGTGTATTTCCCATTTTGTCTTTATTTCAGAAGTAATTTTTTCCTTTATTTTTGATTCTTTAATGAAGTCTGTTTTTTTTTTTTTTGTTTTGTTTTCTGAATTTCTCCAATTCTGATTTGTACCATTTTTCTCAGTCATTTTGATACAGAATTCTGATCTGTTTTTGAACAAATCTTAGTAGCTTCCTTTCATTGTCCTTAGGGATGCTTTTCTGCTCTTTATTCTCCTTTTTACTTGTAACTTCACATTAAATTTGACTTTGGTACTTTCTCTGGTACTCATTTTTATATGAAATGAGCTTTTCTGAACTTTGAGGAAGAGGCATGATGCAGAGTACCTTTTCTAACTTCACAGAGCACTCTTTTTTTTGGAGTGTTTAAGAACATGGCAACTTGTTTTTGAAATTTGCATGGTTTGTTCTACTTGTATTTGGATCTTGTTTTTCTGTGATTTCTTATTGTGGGGTCAGCACTTGAGGGAATTTCTGGTGGGCCACTCTTGAGAGTGAGTTCGTGGGAGTAAGTAAGACTGCTTCTCTCTTTGGGCTCTTAATTCTGTTCACTCACTACCCATTTCACTTTCAGCTGCTATTTTCAAATTGGCCTGCCATGATTATTTGTGGTTATTTTGTGGTCTGTCTGTTCCTGAGTCCTTCTGGTGTGCCATGGTTTTGTTCTGCTTTTACGAATCCTGATAATGTACAGGTCATGTAACTGTCAGTTTTTTCTCACCTTTTTTTTTTTTGGAGTTTGTGAGATTAACCTTAGCTGGTTTGTTATACATGTTTTATTTGTTGGCCTTTTGGCTTTTCTATCTATACTTGTCTGATATATATGGGGTTTTGGAGAGGTGAAACTAACACCACTGCCATTCTTTCAGAATTACACTTTTTAGGAAAACTTTAAAAGTTCCTATTAAGTAAAAATGAGACTAAAAGCTTTGCAGTATGAGTAGATAATGCCTGGAAAGCTTAGCATAGTTGTAACATTAATAATGCTTATACTGAGTTTGCTTTTTCTGCTTGTTGTCAGGTTCTTTATTTTCAGCAATTTTGACATATCAGTAAGTATATAAAAGTAAGGTCACTTATAAGTAGTCATAACAGTTAAGACCTGCATTAT